TATATAATACGTATAGTATAAGAAATACGTTATGGTTGACAATTGCTTAAGCAGCCAAATCCATTCGTAAGCTCCTTAATAAAATGAGGTGTTAGTATTCTTACTGAGTGTGCCGAATGTTGAATGGCGTAGATAACCGCACAAACACCGGAGATGCGCCCCGCCGCCGAAAACCGAGGTCTCGAAACACTAAGGACTATACGAAGAACAATTTAAATAGCTTAAAAGCAAGCGAAGACAAGGTCTTACTTGTGATCTGTCTTATTTCGTAATTAGAATCGCGATTACTATATTCAAAACTTTAAACGAGTTGCGGGTGTCGTTCGCTGTACTCTATATCTTATTTTAAGACGTTTATTCATAGCTTATACAATAGATAAACTATAATTTTTCTGAATAAAGTACTGGCCGTTTAGTGAGTATTTTATTCAGAAAAAATATATTTATCATAAAGTTTATTTAAAAAAATTAGATTGCAAACTATGTATACATATCTATCTAATTAAAATCACAGTTATTTATATTTCCTGAAATAACTTATAACTTTCATTGTAACTAGTATCGACTTATAAATGTCTCGTTGACATTACTAACTATAAAACTTTGTCATAAACCTATTTGTAAGATTAGTATCAATGACAACTAATTACAATGGTGTAGGACTAATTACTGAGTTATTAGTTCTATACCAGCCATTGTTTTCCCTTACCACCTGTCGCTTTTACTAGCTTGTGTAATGACCATAATGCAAAATGCGTGTATCGTGTATAGAGAATTCCTGCACATGTGTTCGAAATAAAGGCCCGCAGTTAGGGGTGGATGTAACAGGTGGTTTGGGGGTACCACTTGTTGCATAGAAATGCACTTAGGAAGTTATGGGATATAACTTTACTTTGTTCGAAAGACCAATAAAATTTAAGTGTTTGTTGCTTAAATTAACATTCACCTTTAAAACAAACATAGCTCTATACCATTTTGGAAGTAACATAGTATTAAAACTTAAATAAGAACCAATTAAAAGAATAGCAGGAGACCTCTAACCATCATCATCACCAGACTATTAATGTCCTTACTACTGAAGCTTAGGTTTTTCGTATGAATGGAATCAAATAGAATCCACCACGCGGACCTAATGCGGATTAGTGGGAATTAATAACCGCAGATGCAGCCGGGACCAACGGTTAACCGTGCCTTCCGAAGCACGGAGGAGTTTGAGACAATAAATTTTTGGTCACCCATCCTATCACCGACCATTGCGAAAGTTGCATAAAAATCGTATCGTAGAAAGAGCGCGCTATTAACTGCTCCTCTAAATCATGCATAAAACCATATATATTTTGATAAAATTGAATATAAAAATAGTTCATAGCCTGCATTAGATGGGTTTTTATTGGTAACCCAAAAAAGAAGCTTGTTAACAACAGAATAGGTGACTTTTTCTACAAATTTAGATCTAAATTAGTTGTTAAAAAATTAAGTAAAAACCAATGATTCGGACAGCGTCCGATCAGATACGGCCGTTGTTCAGACAACAGTAACTAAGACCAATCACAATGGCGTATAGAACAAAAGCTCGCGCCATTTTTACCGCTTCTATTGTCTGTTTGAACTTGGAACGTCGCGTGACGCGGCCGGCGCGTGCGCTTGTTTCGCATTTAAATGATTCTTTTTAATGCCTTATAATTGCTATGGATATTATTTCTGGTAAAAGAAATAAAATTACATGATTTGTATCTAAAGAAGACGACTTCACCCCTTTTGAATTGGTATTCATTATTTTTGGATATGGTTTACTTTAATAAAAATTTTATGAAAATGTCTTCAAACCTATAACATTATTATAATTTTGCATTGACAATACTCTATTGATTTTTTTTAATAAAAATGCTTAGAAAATCCACTTTGTCCCTGGTACTCTGAGATGGGACACGAACCCATAACCTTTCGCAATCCAAGCTACTGCTCTAATCATTGAGCTACCCAGTACCTAATAGGACCGACGAATTTTTTTTCAAGCACTTGTTACTTTTCACTTTTCAACATCGTTCGATAAAGATGAAAATTTCTTGTAATTATTATATAGGTATTTGATTAATTTGCATTCATAATGCTATGCTATACTGAAAAATACTCTTAATGAACAATGTATTATATTGTATAGGTTTAAAGACATTTTACTTATATATTTCTTGGTATCGGTCCCATAAACTGTGACAATAGTGCACCAACAAGTTACTATTGTGACGTGTCGTTATTATGATGTGTAAGGAACTGTAACATCATTATTTAATTCAACTCGACTGTATTCGTACTGCCTATGCAAGAGAATATTTCATTGGTTACTTGCAAACTTCCCCGATTGTTTGATGTTGGTAAAAAATACTCGTTATCGTGTGAAACAGAATTATGTATTTTGTACGTTCCAAATTTGTGTACTCACCGGGCAGTAGTCCCCTTCAATTCAACCGTGGAGGAGGGTCTTTTCATATTGTGGTAAAAAATGTTATTTTCAAACGGTCCCTAGACCAAGTGAAGCGTTAAACGAGTGAAATGTAACGCTTTGCATAATCATGCAGAGTATCATTCGATTAATTGTTTTTTCTTTCTCACTTAAGTGTTATTAGTTAGACTTGTTATCGTATAATTTATAGTAAAAGTAGGTAATGTTTGTTGGTAACCGATTTGTGAAATTTATTTCTATGTTCTAATAAGAATATGTTGTGTAAAGTTTTCATGGTTTGTAAAGTTTACATTAGAATGATAGTTTTCTACGGGGCTGCCACCATGTACCTTGTTTTTATTGATATCCCGAAATTTCGGCACTGTTACAAGCGTCATGATCTCGGAGTAACTGGAAATTACTTTCTTTCGTACAAGGTACTGGTAGCAATCCCATAGAAAACTATCATTCTTATAAAATTATTATGAAAATTTCATTTTTCCTTGCGTGAAATACTGAAAAAGGGGTGAAACTGATAATGGCATTTGACCTATGGCTATTGAAATGGTACCCACTCTATTACGGAGTTGAAACAAGATATAATCTAGAAGTAATATTGAACAATAGTACATGTTTATCATTCAGTGATCTCTTGATCACGATGTAGGCGAGAGACCTTTGCTCAATGACAGAGGCGGCGCGGACGCATCATCTCATTGAGCGCGCACCGGATGGGCCAATCAGCAGCGTGAATGGTCGCCCCCGCGCTTGCGCCGCGCTAGCTGGCTCCCGTACTAGATGCCACCGTTTCTTTGTTATGCCCGTAAATTGATGTAACCTTTTACGGCTTTCGGAATGTGTCGAATCGTAAATCCGTTGTTTGTCTCATTGGACATTGTGAGAAAGTCCAGTACATATTGTACAATCTTTGATATAGAATGATATGTTTTATGATATGTCGACGGCTTTCATCCGAAATGTCCATTGAGACGTTAATGAATTAACTTCGTTGTCCTTGACATGCCAGCGGGTCGACCGAGTGTGTGAAGTGCATAAATAAATAAATATACATAATTTGTGACGCCGATACAAGTGTTTTGTATTTCACAGCCAATTACTATTAAAATGTCGCCGATTTCACTTTTAAAGAGTTCTCCCCGTATCTAGAATAAACAGGATGAACTATGTTTTTGCACTTGCAACTCTCTTTTTACTTTAAAGTACTCGAATATTCGTTTTCATAAATGCCTTTCATAAGAATCCTCTCTCTAACAATGTGTCGTCATCTGCTTCTGTTAGCAGCTGTATGAAAGAAACCTCGGTATATTCAGTGATGTTTGAAACTACTTAAATCAGAACATTAAGCTTCCTCTAGATTTTATTGACACTTTCTAAGACATCATGCAAGTCGAATTTTCTTCTTAAGTTGATTATCTATTTCTTCTTTCTTACTAGTCTTAATTAAAGAAGTTCTAATATCACGTGCAAGGTCGTTATGTGTATACAAGTATGATATAAACAAAGTTCAGTTCCCAGGTTATGTGGTAGTGGAGGTCTCACTTTCAAGATCAGCAAAGCATACGCGAAGAGCAGTAATTACTGTAACGGTTGCACAACGGCCCTCCGGACACGCAACGTTTCGACACGGAGGAAGCCGCAACATCTCTATCTTGATTCATGTTTTCTAGGGACGCAGCTTTGGTATCAATGACATTAATTTACAATGTTAGACAGTGACTTTGTAAAGAAAATTTAAATTTGGAAGCATTAACTACCAGTAATACTTTTATTACCTTTCGATGTTTATCATTGCTATCGATTGCACTGAATTATTCAATTAGTTCACGCTGCTCCAATAAAAATTATATGAAGTATTACTGCAGTTTAGTACATATTTCTCAAGTAACGTTGCGTTCGAGCTCCCCTACGGTTTCATCAAACGATAACGATTGAAGCGTGTAAATGAAATGTACCTGCATACAATCTTCAAAAGGACGATACCTAATAATTTCATATAATGAACGTTTTCATATTTTTGTTGCGGTCACGCAGCATTCACATTTGGCACAAGAGCACGCGAAACCGAGAGCGTTGCGTCACCGAGGATGATACATAGCCTTTTTCACAACAAACGATGTTTCGAATTTGAAACACGACTCGATTCGAGACGCGAATGTTTGGTATCGATTCAGCTGCCGTATGGTTAGCATGATGGACGTCCAAGTGTTTTTTTGCACCGCCATTGTACAGAGCTCACTGCGGTGTGATATTGCGAGAATTTAAATTGAATTCTAATGAAAAAGAATAAAAAGTATGAATGCAACTGTTGAATGCTGTTGTTGTTACTTCTGTATAAATTACGAACATATTCTAGATCAACTGTTTCAAGAATAATGTTGCGTGTTATCTAAACATAGACACTTTTAATTAGATATTTTTCAGAGCTTCATACAACATTATTAAATACCCAGAAGATGCCATTGTTAAAATAAATAATACAAACAGTAAGTTAGCGATTGTCCTGAAATATTACGATTCCAAAGAGTCTTATAAAACTCACCTTTTGGCTTATTGAAAGCTTTCATCATGACTTTGATTCCCATGCCTGCGATGTCCGCCGACGCCGTTGCTTCTCCGCCGCGGGCTACGATAGTCCGAGCAAAACCCGCCTTCAGGCAACGCAACGTTTATAGCACTTACACATTTACAAATAAAAGTCAAACGTCTCTTTTAATTAAATTAAATATATAAGAACAGATATCACAATGTTTATTTTTATTTAACACTTCCAAAGTCAGTTTAAACACTCCTCGCTGTTTTTCATTTTGTCGGTGCTTTAATGTCACGTCACGGTAGAAACTCTTGGTTTATTAGTACTGTTTGTGATCATGTCGTGTTGCTTAGCTCACTGTACCTGCGAATTAAAGTATTCGTTTTGTGCCAAGTTTTCGTCTCTTCTATCTCATGAATATCAACGGAAGTAGTGTTTTATCTTATCAGTAATAACTAAGTATTTGGCGGAAAGTATTAATTAAATACAGTTTTGATAAGTAGGTGATTTGATGGCAACCTTAGATAACACATAGATAATTAATTCTAAACAAATTGAAACGTGAGTAATAGTTGTATAAGATGTATACTCAAGGAAAAGTAATATTCAAATAACCCCCGCATTCTCACAGTTGCTTCCGGCGCGGTACCCCACATTAACCCGAGTTCCCACCCCTACCCCCCTCGCTTCAACCCTCATTCCCACACGGTCTACTGGGCCATATCGACTAATTTTGCTAACTTTTGTCATTAGTGTTGAAGTGCACTTGTGTCATTGTTTACGAGGGTAGTCTATAGCGTTGCGTTTAGACACAAATAGTACAAAGAAAGAATATTGATAGTAGATTTTTTAAAAGTCATGATGTGATTGTATCTATGCTAACAAATAGTAATTAAGGTGCGTATTAACACTTTACGGTGCATTACAGTGCACCGGGCTTTGATAAACACCTGTTGCTTCACCCCGACAACTCCACACTTAGACGCAGTAAAATTACACAGTGCGTGATCGTTGCTACATTAATTCAGTAATAATGTTTATTTAACACGCAATTTCTCTTTAAAAAATATTATTAATAACTCAAATTAAACAAAGCCTAGTAAGTAATTTAAAGTACTTTAAAAATACCAATAACCCACATGTGTTCTCGTATTTTACAAAGTAAATGCTAATAGTGTTTACATACTCAATGATCATCCCGCAGTCTATGAATAAAACATGTCAATAATGAACCATCAGAAATTGATGATATTGGTACTCGATAACCCATTGAGAGAGCAAGGGGTTAAGCGGTAAACAGCTTAATTTTTTTAATAGATTTGTGTGTTGGGGTTAAAATGTACGGTACACGGCTGAATATTAAAAAGGTGCTTAATTTTTCTGAGGTTTCTTTTTTGACCATCTGTCAGAGCTGAAGAAAAAAAATACAAAAGATTTTTGCTTTCCGACAAAAGTCGTTGATTTGTTCATCTGATGTAAAAATAATAAAGAAAAATTTTTAGTCGCGTTTAGAGGTTCTACAAATTATGGGAAATTGATGAACAATATTCATGTTACAAGATATAGGGGCGAAGAATTGCCACTAATAAAAATTACATTTGGATCCAATATTCGAGACGATGACAGGAAGATAAGACAATATGATACTATTTTAATTCTGACCCCTGCCATAACTATAATGAGCTTTTAATTCAAAGTTTACATTTATCTTTACATATGTAGAGACAAAGTAATTTCTCTTATTGGAAATATGCATTTAATTCATTAGATGCTGTTGAGGATCGTCAGCTGAACCGACCTATTTTTATACGTTGTCTTTGTTTTTATAGTTCTTTTTTATATATATTTGATTTTTATTTAATTTTTGTTTTGTATTGACATATGTTCTTTATTGATTGTCGCGTGCTTTGACGAGTATATTTGTTTTGTGGACAATATAGTTTTGAGAAGATAAGTTGTTTATTTTCGCACCTGTGCCCACACCATTCCTCGTCACCCTCTTCGTCGATAACAGATGCAATAAGGTTTTTTGTTCGTTTCTAATTATGAATTTCGTAACTTTCTTAGCAATTATCCAATCCTAAGATAAAATTAGGTTTTATGAGTTGTAAATTTTACCTGTACCCATACATTTATTTCACGTTAAAATGACTATGAATTGTTTTGGTTTTCTGTATAAAGGTGACTTTAGTCGGATACTATTACCGTGAAAAAGCCACAGTCCTATAAGAAGACAAGTTATAGTACAGTATCATTGACATTTGAGATTTAGATAAAGTTTTCGTGGTAAAATCTTTCTTTATGAGGAGAACGATACAGTACTTAAGTCTTTATGACCACGGATTTTACAGTATCGCGTTTCTAAATTTAATTATAAATATTATAGCCATTCCCACAACTTTGCCTGCGTAAATTGTAGCCCATATTACCCGCGTATAATGTAGCTTCCAGTAGTTGAAAGAATTTTTGCAATCGTTCAAGTAGTTTCGGAACGTATTAAATACAAATAAATTTTGATCTGCGTCATTAATCTTGCAAACAAATTACATTTACAATAATTGCAATCATGCTACACGTGTTTAAATAATATCAACAATATACAATCGTTGGTACATGTTACAATAATTGTAATACAAACTTTAAGGGCGTAAGAAAGCTATTCAATGAGTCGAGTGCATTACAGCCTATTGTGTTCTAAGTAGTTGATTGAATAAATCTAGCTGCCCGACCAATATTGGCGGACAATAGCTGAATAAGCGCACGCATCGCGACCAGAGAATAAAATTCATATCAAGTTAGTATCATGGGTATAACCTTTTTCGAATAATAAAAAAAACTAACATGCATACTTAGAAAGGTAATCTATGTTTTCATTGTCATTTTCTAGTTAGATAAAGTTATATAGGAAATAGAAAACGGATTTTGTTAAAGCGCAAGTAAACTGCTAAGTTGTGTCTATAATATCTATTACTCATGCCGTGACCTCTGCCTATGGGTTAATCATGTGGTGGCGGCAGAGATTGCCGGGTCTAGGGTCAACTAACTCGATTGTCGCGCCCAATTTGCCCCCATACACAAAGATGTCTTCAAATTGATCTCTCAACTGACTCTACAATTGTCTCTTTCTGTCATTTGCTTTAAGCTTATTTGAAATTAGTGCATGATATATAATGATAGTGTAAGAATACACTTTTAAATTTGTTTATGTAAATAAATTTAGTTCCTCATTCATACATCTGCTTAAAACAATATGCTAAATTTGTCAAAAATGATTATTATTTACTTGGATTATATATACATATATGTATTTTACAATAATAAGTGCTTGGTTGGCGTGGTACCGTTTAAAACTTTTTGAAATTAAATCTCTTTGTTGAATACTACGAAATTAATTTGCTCAATTTTATTATCAATCACGGAGACCAAAAGCAATATAGAAGCGCTAACTCCTGAAGCAGTCGAGTAATTAAAGTCGCGCGACAGTAATTAGAGCTCGGGGCGGAATCAGAACAAATACTCTGTGTCATGTCAATTGCACTGCGAGATCAGGGGTCGGCTAGCTCATCCTGACCCACTGGACACCCGCATAAAACTTTAAGAGGCCATACACTAATCAATTTGGGTTTTGATGGTTATTGAGTGTCTCGGATATGGTGGTAGTTTTTATGATTTGTTATAAGTATTTGTTTTGTTTCACAAAATATTTCGTATAAATGAAAATAAGTTTTATCAACAAAAAAAAAGGTTATAATACCTTTCGATATTTGAATATCTTGAATGCATCTTTTTCATACAAATGTTTCGTAATAATATAGAAAAGGTTGACTAGGTTGAAGGTTTGGGCCGTTCGTGTTTTGTTTTTGCTAGTGTTCGCAAGATATTTCCCCGGTGCCGCATGGATTGCGCGAGAATCAACAAACACCGCGACAATGGCTGCTTCTTCGAATCGTGTGACGTGGGACATTCAAATGTGGAACAATGCGGCTTGTATAACAAGAGTAACAATTCGGCGTGTTGATGTGAACATTGTGATAGATTGTGCGGTAAACACGCAAGCAAACGGAGCTTTTGAGTTTCTGTTTATTGTGCGTTCATAACGTGTACTTGACGTGCGAATTCTAGTAGGTAATAAACTGCTTTGTAATTGGGGTCGGGTATGTCACAGAAAATCAAGTAACATATAGGATTTAAAACCAGGGTACGCAAAAATCCGATATTTATAATAAATTTCAAAATATCCAATCTTTGATATTTGTCGGATATATATCATGCTTATGAAAAGCTACGATTTTTGAGCTGTCAGTGACTTTATTTAATATTTGTTTATTCATTATGAAATAATTAAAAAGTAGAATTCGAGAAAGAATTTCCAATAACGTATAGGGGAAAATCCGGTATTTCTAGTAAGTAAGATTGCTACTTCGGGCCAATGTTGCTAGCGTCACATCGGATTGCTTAATTTTCTAGCTGAGACTGAACACTCAATACTCTAACAATAAATATTATATATCATGATATAATATCCATTGACATTTATGTTTTAAACGTACATTTTAAACGAACTTTAAGTTATTTTATCTTTGTGGCATCATGTGATATCCAGCCAGCTGTTCAGAAGAGTCATGTCGCGCGGTCCAGCAAGTGATTTGACCTCCGACCATTTAATTGTAACGGTGCCACCGACTGTCGCACGCGTTCTACTGTCGCTGAATCACGCTAGTACCTACGCTAGTACCAGTCTGATTCAAATAATATTTAACGATTGTACGTGTATTTAGATGTTTATTGGGATTTTTCATGTGTTGTTTGATAAGATTATTTTCTTCGTATTCCATCCTTTTTGTTACCTTTTCAAAAGTGTTAAAAAGTAAATGTCAATTAGCCAAGTATTTTAAGTAATACGCAGGTACCTATGTAAAACTTTTTTAACGAACGCGTGTTAGGCTTATTGGTCGATAGGTACGAACTATAATGGGAAACTTACAGTAATTAATGTAAAAAAAATGCTACATACAAAGTTGCCACATTAGGTAAGATTAAGAAAAAACACTGCACTAAACTGACTAATATCAGGGACAGGCTATGCTAAGTATGAGCTGAATAGGCAACGATGAAGTTGCGTAATTTCGCAACTTAAGGTATAAAATATTTACTTGGCAGTGTATCCATTTCATTTTACAGTCTTAACTGAACTATATTATAGCCTTATTGGATTTTAATTAGGTACTACATGGTAATGGAAAAGACGAAAAGAAATAGCCGTTTGAATGATTGAAAAAAAAATTTGACCAGTTTTAAAGATGTATTTGTGTGGAAATTGCGACTATTTTTAATTCAGTATTTTTTAATTTAATACGTATTAT